TCGCTGGGTCCTCGAAAATGCTCCCTAATGCCATGGTTCACGTTGTTGCATGAGTTACTCTAGTGAGTGCTAAGAGACTCTGCATAAGCACTTCTGTCCTCAGCGTAAACAGCAGTGTTTATTTTAGCCCCCAATTCCCAGCCATGTTCATCCCACTGGTCAAATTAGAGATAAGAAAAGAGGGGCGTTATGAGCACTCATGAAGTAAGTAAGTGGCTGATGCTCAAGGTCCTCTGGTAGTGGAACCCAAAGTCATGAGCTCCTGTGTGCTGGCTGACTCCGAAGGTGATTACTATTTGTTCTGAACAGGTCCCTGTCACTGGCAGCCTACAAAGAAGCATGCTTTTCAGACTGGTGCTTTGAAAAAGAAAATATACAACGCTTCATAATTGCTTCCTCCAGAAACTCAAAAACACGTAGAGAATTAACCTTCCCGATGAAGGAGATGATCTTCCTAAATGTAGGAAAAGGAGCAGCACCTTAAGGAATTCAGCATGAGAGTCTGCTTCATTGGAAGTATGCAGACTGTGAGCACTTTTTCTAGGCAGGTGGAAGGGGAGGAAAAGGAGGAATGCAAGCAGGCAAGACTCCACCCTTCCTCAGCTGACTGCTCTGTGGGCTCTGTCCCACACATTTGTCCGGCCTGTGGTGAATTCCTACCGCCGAAAAACATGTTCCGGCTGACCTGGCAATGACTATTCCAGCCCCGTGCACTGTCTTGTTAGCCTCTGTTCTACGGTGAAAGAGTAAAGCAGAAAATGGTAAGATGTTCACCAAACTTATATGGAAGATTTGTTTATACCACTTCATGGAGAAAGATGAGATTTTGTACTCCTGTAAGGAGTTACAGTCTCAGAAACCTACAGGATCACAGCATTGATTACAGGGGCTCAAAGCCATTGTGGGCCACCATTGACCTAGGCAGTATTTGGTATTGTGACAGGCACAAATGTTATTGAACAAGATGAGGCAAATTAGTATGCTGTCTGTTTGTCTACGTAATAAAGATGTTTGCCAGTATGTAGAATGGATTATGTTTTACTTTTAATGCCCTTCCACAAAGTTCCCTAAATCCTACAACTACCTGTCACCAATAGGTAAGCTATGACCTTGGAAAAGTCCACCTCCAGAGGGAGCTCTCCACTATGCTCACACCAGGTCACCAACCAACAAGAACTGAGCCTACTGATGACACACACACAGGAGAGCAACATGGCTGCCGCGAATCAGACAAGGTACCTAGTAACTAAGGGGTCCCGAGTGTGAACAAACAAAAAAATATATACCAACTCATTTTGGAGGAGACATTTGCTCTGTTGGTTCAACAAATAAAAAGAGACTTAGAGATTGGTAGGACTGTTTGCTAATGGCACTTTAACATTCGTTATGCAAGGATTGTGACCCATCTGCTACCTCTTCGTGGGATACCAACCACTGGGATCGGTGGAGGCCCTAGAATGTATAATCCAGTCTGCCCTTTACACTCAGCTTCACTGATCCACATTTTTTATTTGAGATACAGGTTTCAGTAACTTGGAAGTCCGCTAAGTGGAGCCCATGAAAAAGAAAAATACTACAGTTGAGAGGTGCCTACTGGGATTTAGATCAGTTAGTTTAGGCCATTTATTTGAAATGCTATTACAGTGATTCTCAACCTTCCCAAGGCCACGGCCCTTTAATACAGTTCCTTGTGTTATGGTGAGCCCCAACCATCAAATTATTTTCATTGCTACTTCATAACTTTAATTTTTCTACTGTTATGAATCGGGAGACCCCTGTGACCCCAAAGGGTCGTGACCCACAGGTTGAGAACCGCTGTGCTACTGGGTCACGGTGTCTACCGAGCGCAAGAACAGACATGCAGTGCTTTCTTCTGTGACAGTGAGTTCGATCCAAATGCATCAGTCCCACTGCTTCCTCCTGCTCTTGCCAGTCAGCGTGAATGGCATTTATATGTCATAGGGGTCTTAAGCCAGAGTGACTGTAGTGTGGCTTTTATTAACCCACATGGTCTGATATCTGGCACAAGTTCTTTGGTAGAAAGCCTATCGAGAGTATTCACACTTCAGGTCAAAGTGTAAAATTCTATAAACTATCTACTCGGACACATAGTCAAGAAAAAAATGTCTTCTGTTATCTTCATTTAACCTATTTTTACCTATCAATAATTACTATGTTTGAGTTTTTCCTTCTAGAAAGGGCTTTGATTCTCATGTCTACGATTTTCATATGGTACTTCCTTAAGAGCTAAAAAATGATTTATTTAATGCATAATAATTTATGCTGAAATATCAATGCTTCAAATGTATATCAAATGTGCAGCAACTGTATAAGTATATGGCCATTTTGCAAGCTGCTGAATGGCATTCGAAGTCTTGGGCTTTCTTGGCAGCCGGGAAGCCTGTGTCCTTTAACTGAGAACCGATCTAGCTCCTAGTGGTTAAAGGTCAGAGGAAGAAGTGTAGCTTGTATAGCTGCTGTCAAAACGGTGGAAAATGGGGATATTGTTTTATGATGGTTTCCACATAGCAAGAAAGAGCCATGTGAGAATGGACTGGAATTAAAGATATCAATGACAGTTTACCCTTTCTAACATAGATTTGTGAATTTGTTTTGAATGTAAACGTGCACTTCTGGAGGTATATAGGCATATGCATGTATGACTAACATATACACAGACACATACATGCACATGCACACACACACTAGGGAGTCTGAATCCCGGCCAACACACTATTTGTGATTACTCAGATCTGACAACCGGCAACACAGAGGCTTTGCAAGGGGAATAGGTGGCTGTAATCCTCATAGCCTTGACAGTAGGATGATGGAGAAAACAATTATGTTCTCTGACTAGAGTTTTAAGGCCACCACCAGAACTCTTAACCAAATCAAAAGATGGTTGTTCCTAAAAACTTTCATGTTTGTTATGTCAACTACTGAAAACATTATAATATAAGCATATTTTCCATCTGAAGCTCAGCAATCTTCATTCCCTTCTCCCTGGGAATTACTATGGTTAGGATTATTGTTTTTAATCTTGTGAAAGGCAATAACTCTCTTTGGCTAATTGCGCCTAACAACATTGGCTCTCAAAGTCAGTATCAATTTTTAAGAGGAGAAAAAGAAACAATGGTCCTCATTTTTTATCATAAGGAAGACAAGTTTCCCATGAGGCTATCTATGCAATAGCCCCCTCTCAGACTTTGGAAAGATCTGCGTCCTTAAGAACTCATCATTGATTCAGGCACCCAATGTCATTGTGTTACATTTAGAACTAGCAATACTGAACACTGCAACTGTTACAGAGACTGGACATGGATCAAGCTGAGGGAACCCTCTTCACGTTGTTGGAAAGGTCCTTGAATTCATAAATGTTTTAATTCTGATAAAGCCCAATTTCTTTATTTTGTGTTTTGCTACTCATTCTTTAGGTATCATATCTAAGAATATATATACATATTATAATACATATATATATATTTAACTAAATATTAGTGACAATAACCTCTATGTTGTCTTTGAAGGGTTTTTGGTTTTAGATCTCAAATTTATGTCCTTGATCCAGTTTGATTATTGTCCCAGCACTATATACTATGGAAATGATTCTTTCCCCATTGAATAGACTTAATCCAGTTGTCAAGAATGAATTTGCCATTGCTCTGGAAGAAAGGCCTGGCGATAAGTTTCTGTAAAGACTACAGCCAAGAAAACCTAGGATGGACTTGGTGGCAGTGAGCTTGGATTTTGGGGTTTTTTTTAAGACCAGGAATTACTGGTCTTCTTCTTTTTCAAGGTGGCCTGGGCTTTGCATGGAAAACAACCCCAATGCCTTCTAAACACTTAAACCCCCTGACGGTGGACACCAGTGAGTAAGCTGTGACTATCTAAAGGAGTAATTTTGCTGTTGTTAGGTGCCCTCAAGTCGGTTCCAGCTCATAGCAACCCCTATGTACACAGGACAAAACACTGCCCGATCCGGGTGAGTGTTCATTATATGGAAGGCCTTTGGAGAGGCCTTCAACATGGATACCACCACCAAGAACTGAGGACCCACATCAGGCACCCAGCTAGTCAACTGAAAAAGACAAAGTACAAACACTTAGTAGTCAAGTAAAATTTCTAAGCATGGTCCAGTCCAGGTAGGGCACAAAGTCTCAATTGCCAATTTTTTCCCTCCCTTTGCACAGCAAGCAATAAAGATGACCAGCCACTGGTGAGCGTCATTGTTAACAATAATGTCACATTCCTCACAATAGAATATTAACCCCTAATACACTTTGGGCTACCAGAAAGGATGCTACCTTTTAGTAAACATCAAACCAACAGGATCCCCTGGAAGCTCTTACAAGAGGTCACTAAGCCATTGGGTGGTACTCAGTCACCCACATTTGCTGTTTCAGTTAAAGATCTCATAAACTGTCAATTAAATGGTAGGAGCCTATGGTAGAAAAACTGATACAAGTCAGAGAAAGCCATCTGACCTTTGAACTAACTGAGAGGTAATTTTCGCCCTGTAATTTATGTATAATGATGTGAAAGAGCCATGACTATGTGATAGTTTTATGACTAGTACCTCTAACCAAACAGTATCAGTACTTTTGCTTTTGTTCTGTAGGTACCTAAAGGCACATAGGCATAAGATCAAAGCTTAAATGTCTATAAAATACATACTCAAAAGCATATTCAAGAATAAAATTAAAAGATATTCCAATGACTTTAATTTAAATATTTTAGCTATCTATAATTGTTATACTTACGGAATTTTTCCTGTGTGGAAATTTTTTTCCTCTTTACTTGAATTTGAAGGTCTGGCATCGTATCTTGAGTCTTACGCATAAGATTTTCATCCAGTACTTTATCAAGAGCTACAAAAAGAGTTAGTCCAATAAGTAGAAAAGCAGATCAACTCGGAGATCTCTAGAATTTGAATTCATAGCAAGGGCACAAGAACTGTACAGACCTTTTCTCGCATTTTATAAGTTTTTGTTTTTTGATTTCCCTGTTTGAACTAGCTGAGCCCCAAGAGCACTGAGGGCCAGCGTCAACGTTCCTTTTCCTCCTTTTAAGACCAGCCCAGACCAGTTTGTGATCTGACGGGAAAGGGAACTGGAGGGTGCAGTTTATAAAATGTTAATAAAATTACCATATGCAAGATGTATGTGATGCAACCCTTGTGAGTTCTCTTTGATGGGTTTGTGTCAAACTTATCTCATGTCATAACTATATCAAGCCATCAAATATATTTCGTATTGGTATTTTCTTTGAATATGCATAGAATAAACAATAAAAATATCCATGCATGAAATTCTTCATTACAACATCACTTGTAGTCACAAAATATTCAAAACCACACACGTGTTCAAGCACGGCAGATGTACTGATTAAACTAGGCCACAGGAATGCAATTAGAGATGAGTGAGTATCCTGGAACCCTACCTGTCTTCCGCATAAAGGATAGAGAAGCAGACTGAATATGGATTAGGAGAAGGTGGTCCCCACCAGTGGCCAGGGTGGCAGAGAGGAAGCAGCAGGTGAACCGTTGGCTGGTGTGATGTGGAGCAGCCATAATCAGATACAGCAGCATCTGGAAAAGCCAGACTAGACCATGGCAACCAATAACCGACAAAACCATTGCCATGGAGCAGATTCTGGTGCACAGTGTCCCTATGGATGGAGTAGAACTGCCCCGTCGGGATTCCGAGGGTGAAAATCGTCATCGAAGCAGCCTGTCACCAATGTCTCCACCGTGCAGCTGCTGTCTTCAAACCACCAACCATTTCATGTAGCAGCGGTGCACGGAACCACTGCCCCACCAGGCCTCCTGACGGCAAGTGAACAAAGCCTTACTGGTGACGTTTCGTTAGTCCCTGTATTAACTACCTCATTCCTGGCAGCTCGCTCGCTCTCTGACAAATTGGTACAGAGTGTAGTTTCATCAGGGAAGCACTAATAGCCATCTTGAAAGGCAAACCCTAAAGAGGTGGTGGAGAAGGTTCAGGGAAGGGAAGGGCTCACAGCTAGATCGCCTGTGAGAGACTGGTGTCCCATGGAGAACTTTGCCAGCCAAGCCAATGGGTCTCAAACACTGCTAAGTGATGCAGCAGGAGATTCTATGGTGGAATAGTAGTGAATTTTTAAAATATAACCCTTTCTGTTCTGATGGAGACAACTGCTCCCTCTTGGAGTCTCTGACTTCCCATATGCGCTTCTAAGGCAGATCAGACTAGAAATCCAGCAGACAGGCTCTATGAAACTAGGCAAATGATTGTCTGGCAACCGCTTACAGTCTTCCAGGAGTGGGGACAAAGGTCATCAGAAACCATACCACGGGAGTCAAGTTGCACCAAATATCTAATGTTGTCTCTAGAAAGGACCCTGGCACTGCACGACAGCCTGAAACACACTGAGAGGTGACATCTATCTTTATTTGAAAGGGATGGCGGGTCCTTCAGAATTGCTTCACAGAGGGAGCCAGAGAGATCTGGGAAAGTTGGGGAATTCACCACCATGAGAAAGGAGGTAATCTTACAGGCCTTAGCAGTAGAAAGTGGTATCTCAGGGGAAGCAGCATTGCAGATCCCTAATAAGAATGTCCTGACAGTGACCAATTTTCATCAGCAGCCAAAAGAAATGGGGGTGGGAGGATGCTGATGGAGCTTGAACACCCAACACGTGCATCTCTGTGAACTGAGCACTATTTGATTTCGGAATGATTTGGCACACATCTGATGAGGTCCAGGCCACTGGAAAACCAGTGTGAACTGCCTTTTCAGAGGCCCCGCAAGCCACCCTGATGGTCCCTTGAGGTACACGAGTGGAAACACCAAACAGACTCAGAGTTTCAGGTTTGTTGGTGCAACTCCTGGCTGTGATAATCCTAAATCAAACCTCCACACGCATCAGTGACACCATCAAGACTTGAGCCGACAACTTTCTGGGCATGAAAAAGCAGTTACTGTCAAGATTACAGAGTAATTGGCAAAGAAGTAGAGCGCTGTAGCTCAGAGCACGCCGCCCCACCCCCCCCTACCCCCAGCAGTAGCAGGCTTGCTTCACAGAAGGCCCAGCGTTCTCCTCCCGTCAGTGTTACACCTAGGAACCCCCGTGGCCCAGTTCAACTCTGTAGCACAGGGAGTGGCAGTAAGCCATAACTGACTCCCTGCGGCTAATAGCAGACTCAAGAGACTCGTCAATACTGCGTGTGCTATGTACCCCACGTCCTCAGCGGAGTCATGAAACAGATTATGAAATATTTTGAGTGGATTTATTTTTATAGGCTTATCCATAAGCTTAGCGTTTCTGAAACGATTTTAGAAGCTGTCTATGCTCTAAGGTTAGGCACCTCTATATATTTATAATTATTATGTATTCTTGATGAAATAGCACATGCATCATTTTACAATGCCCCATCTTGTCTCGTATCATAATTTTTTTTTTACTATTCTCTTTGGTTTAACATCAACATATCCACAACTGGTTTCTTTTAGCTGTTCTGGCATGGAATATTTTCTCCATCCTCTGACTTTCAAACTGTTTGTATCCCTGTGTTGATGTTTGTCAATTAGACAGTATATTGTTGGATCTTGTCTTTTATCCATCTTGCCACTCTCAGCCTTTTCATTGGAGCATTAGCAGATTTACATTCATGATCATTGCCGACAAGAAATGACCCTTCTTTTGTTACTTTACTGCTGTTTTTCCCATTTCTTCTGTTTCTTCGTCCTTCATTTTCTCCAGAACTGCCAACATTTTTGATTCGTTAATTCTTTTGAGAAGTATCATTTTTATCCCATTCTACTTTTATTTTGTATGTATTTTTTAGAAAATTTCTTTGGGGTTAGTATTAAGATTGCATTTAATAGTTTACATTTAATATTAACTTAAGGAACATACAAAAATTCTATACCTATACTATTCTTACCCACTTCCTCATTTATGTACTTTTTTTACCTGTAATATCTTTATATATAATATTTCTTATGGCATAAATTTACTTTAGCATTTGTCATTATGAAACATGAAGGATACAACCGCTAGAATTGTTTTAAGACTTGCCTGTGCAGTTATCTTTCACTGCTTCTAGTTTACCATCAAATGTTCTTTCTCATTTGAAAAGAATCTTTGTAGCATTTCTTGTAAGACAGGTCTGTCTCAGCTCTGTTTATTATCTGGGACTATCTTAATTGTATCCTCATTCTTGAAGGACAATTTTGCCAGTGTACTATTCTTGGTTCATAATTCTTTTATTTTCAGAACTTTAAGTAGGTCGTGCCTTTAAGGTCTAAAGGAAAATAAGCGCTGCATCTCATTTGAGATCCTTGGTTTCTGAGAACTGGGTATGCTGTCTCTCAGTGCGCATGTCTTGGGTTCTTTCTCCTTGTGGTTCGTCTATGCTGTTCATTCGAGAAGACCATGGTGCTTCCTGGATTTTTAGATCCATATCCTCTGTCAACTTCGGACTTTTTTTGCCATTATTTCTTTAAACATTTTTCCTGTCTCTTCCATATCTTATCTCCTTTGTAGAGTCCCATGTTCAGCATGTGGTGTTCACACTTCCATTAGGTTATGCTCAGCAGTCTTGAGCCTTTTTTGTTGTTGTTGTTGCTCCTCAGCCCTCATAATTAGAAATTATTTACCTAATTGCTGATTCTTAATTTTGTAAACTAATATATCTTGAGTACTTCCCAATATATATATATTCTTTAAAAAAAAATCATTTTCTTGGAACCTCTTACAGATATCATAACTTTCCATAGTTTAATCACATCAAGCAGTATTGTACATTTGCCACCAGTTATTACATCTTCCAGTTCTAATATTTCTGTCTGGTTTCCTTTATGGAGTCTATCTATTTGAAGAAGCTCTGACATGCAATTTTTAAGCACTCAGCTATTAACGGAAAACCAAACCTTACTGCCGTTGAGTTGATCCCGACTCATAGGGGCCCTGCAGGGCAGGATGACCTACCACCTCCCTGTGGGTTTCGGAGACTGAAAATCCTTATGGGAGTAGAAAGCCTAGTCTTTCTCACCTTTCTCGCTTGGATAAACTGGTGGTTTCGATGTGCCAACCTTTCATTTAGCAGCTCAGAGCATAACCCGAGGTGACTCGGGCTCCTTGTTTTGTTGTTGTTGTTGTTTTCGGGCTCCTTGTTAACGGAAAGGTTGGAGGTATTGAACTCACCAGTGTTTCCTGGGGATAAAATCTGTGAGATCTGCTCCTGTGAAAATGCTTGTTCTTGTTAGGTACCATTGAGTCCACTGCAACTCAGAGATAGTATGCACAGTCCAATGAAACACTGCCGGGCCCACACCACCCCTACAGTGTGATGTTTGCGTTAATTAATTAACTAACTCTGATCTGTCTGGGAAGAGATCTGGCCAGAGTACTCTTTAGAGGCGAAGACAGCAAGTCTTTGTCTTACGTATTTTGACATGTTGTCAGGAGAGTCTAATCCCTGGAGAAGGACATCATGTTTGGTAAAGCAGAGAGGCAGCAAAGAAGCGAAGGCCCTCAAGGAGATGGACTGACATCACGGCTGCCCCAGTGTGCTTACAAATAGGAACAACTTTGGGGGAAGATGCAAGATTGGGCTTTGGTTCATTTTATTTACATGGAGTTGCCACGGGTTGGAACTGACTTGATGTCACCTGACAAAATCAAGAGCACCATTAAGTGTTTTAGAATTCTCAGTCTCTGCTGTTGTCCGTAGTTTGCTGTGATCTGCACAGGCGTTTACCTTTGCATAGTCAAGAAAGCACGAACGTATTTCTGGCGGTCTCTGCTTTCATCTAAGATCCATGTGATGCCAGAGGTAATATCCCTCAGTCCATAACTTTGGATTCCTTGTTGGCCTAATACTGCAACCAACTTTTTAAGTATCCTTCAAAAAATTCTACTTGCATGTGATATTAAAAATAGTATTCAATAATTTCTCTGGAACAGGCATAAATAGGATCTCTTACACTTCGTTGTCTACGTCGCAGTCTTCAAAATGTCTTGGCATAGACTTCTGAGTGCTTCCAGAGCTTCATCGGTTGATGGAAGCATTTCAATTGGTGTGCCTGCATCTGGATTTTCACTACTGTCTTTAGAGCACGGTGGACTTCATCTTC